TATTACAATCGATCTACTCACATTGCAATTTTATATATTTAATATATATTTAGGACTTAATGGACTAAATTAAAATTGTATTTTGAGTCCTAATGAACTGATCTTGGAATTCTCTTAAAACCATGTGAGTATGTATTATTTCTTTCAATATAAATTCGTTTCAACTGATAATTAAATATTGGAAATTTGCCATTCTTTTGAAAACTTAATGTATCTAGTAAACCGAGTAAACCATAGTTTTAACTTATTTTTTTTTTTAGTGCAAGAATATATTGAACAAAGTTAACCAAACCTAAACTTTTAATATAAAATTCTTTTAACTGTAACATAAAGTTTAAATTAAAAAAAAATAATAATAATAACACATTGACCAAGAGCACCACTTGGGGTATCGCAGAGTATATTATATTGACGGTTTTATTTGTAACCGTACCATATTTGTCTGCGGGTGCGCCTTAATTTTATGCTGGCGCTGATGTATTTTATCAGTTAAATTTAATTAATTAATGTAATATATATATATATATATATATATATAATGTATATAAATAATGCAATTAACAGTTTAAATATTATAACCACGGTTTAAAATTTAAAAATATATTTATCACTGTTTAGTTTACTTCTAAGACTGTGATATTATTTATAATTGTTATCAATTTTATTCCTAAAAAATATTAATGTTATTATTTAATGATATATGAGAACGATATAATATGATTAGTATACTCATGAAAAATAAAAATACTTTCTTTTTTTTATTCATAATATTATTAGACTATTTAATTTATTTGGGCAAAGTGGCATACAAAATGTTGTTATTATTATTGCAATTGTTATATAACATAAATAACTGAATTTTTTTGTTATCTTAATTTTTTTATTTTATATTAAATATACTTTCTGGAATTCACTTCATTATTAACAATATTAATACTAATAAGGGGAGTAAAATAAAGGATGGGGCTACATATTTAAGAGACAAGAAAAACAATAATTGTTTGAAATTATATCTGATTGTTATTTATTTTATTTTATTTCATATACATATAAATAATGAGACCCACTGAGAGGACTCGCGTGGGTATTATAATATAACTTAAATGATTTGGTTGCTAAAAAAATGAAAATTTTGTGACCTATAGTTAAAGTTAAAATGAGTAAAACATGAACTCGAAATACTTTATTTTATTTTATATAATTGAATGCTTGACAGTTTTGATGACAAAGGATATAGTTAAGCTATTACCATTTCCACGCTGAATATTGCTAAAATTAATGGATATATATATACATGTAAAAGTTATTATTTTTTCTTTTGTAATATTTTAAAATATATGAGTACACAAAATAATTAATTTAATTCACTCTATTACTCTATTGTTTCTAATAAGATAAATATTTAAATTCAATAAAAATTGATTCCAGAAATAATTATGAAAAAAAATTGATGTGTGATATCTGATAATTGAAAGGTAACGAATTATAATATTGTACAAATCAAAAAAAAAAAAAATTATTAACTCTTATTTGTTTAATTCATAACACAATATATACTTTATGTGCATGCACTAAATTGCAATTTAGTAATACCTAACATTAGTGAATTAAACTCTGAAAATGGAAGTAGATATCAAGTATTAAAGTTTGATTTTAAAAATATCATTTTATATGAGATTTCTATATACATACTAAAAAAACAGTGAATTTTACTCAAGTGTTTTAATTTACCTTTAATAATATTTACAGTGTGGTGGAAATTTTGCTGTAACTACCCATCGATATTATACATTTGAATGTAAATAGCTGTATAAATTAATTTATATCTGTAGCTGTTGTTGATATAAATGATATATAGAAATCTTATTTTAAGACTATTTTATATGTCTTATAAGGTATCTAAAATATATTTGAAAAAAATATTAAGTTGAAGCTTATATATTTTAATTTTTTTTTTTTAACATTCGTGGACATTTGAAATTCTCGGAAGGGGAAAAAACTACTTTTAAAAACGCATATGATTATTACTGCAATAGCAATAGTAATTTGAGTACTGCTATAGCAGTACTGTCCCTCTACATTGCTATTTACAACTATGTATATCACTGCACTGCTATAGCAGTATAATGGATATTTTTTAAATAATTAAATAAAAATAATAATTCAACTCAACCTGGTTTATTTTGTATAACAAATTTTGAAAAAGAATACTATTGTAACAATAATATATATTATTGTTACATGACACCTATGTATGTGTCAATTCCGTAGTAGGCAATAGTGGGATATTTATGCTGAGATAAACATTGTTAATGATTGTGAGGCCTGTGGCCAATACGCACCGTTTATCGAAAGGGCAGTTCGAGACTGACCAGCAATAAACACGAACTCACCAAAAAAACATGAACTCACCAACACCGGGATTGTTTACCACCATCTACATTTTGTTAAGTACAAACCAAAAATATATTTTGAACAGAGATTTATAAACCAAACGTGTTTTATTTATTGATAAGATCCCACATACCGTGTTCTAACCCCCCTAGCTACGGAAAATTTATCCATAAGGACCAGAAAACCTTCCCTGGATAACTAATATAGTAACTAGGTTCCCCAGCCACGTTACACTATGAAATTAAAAAAAAAAAATAAAAATATAGTCTTATATAAATTGAACCAATGAAATATAAAATAATGAAATAATTTTTTTATGACATATTTTTGCGAAAGTCTTCAAAACATAAACCGGGACACAGTGGAACATTGCAAGCTTTACATTGATACTGGGTTTGTTTCCTCACGTGATTTTTTGTGCACATTTTGCAATTTTTGAAGTAATGTTTTCTTTTATACAGGGAGGTAATGGGATTTTTTCTTGATAGTGTTGTCCTTCTTCTGACATTGGTTATATTTACGAACTTTTTCGATATTATTACGTAACATATTCAATCGCACACGACACCGACAACGTATGATGTTTATAATCGAACTGAATATTTATATAGACAACAATTAGTATCTATGGATTATGGTTCAAATATATGGCGTAGACAATTGTATACTATTTTATTGTAACATTGTAAAGCGATAATAATAACGATATCGAATATAGGGTTCATGAGAATACCCAAGAAAAAGGAACGATAAATAAATCTAAAAATAAAACATATATAACACAGTGCCCAATATTCTGAAGTATTGCAGTGGGACAGTAAAACATGCTCTTTCATATGAAACCATTGAAATTATTACTGCTATAGCAGTACTGTGTTTATTTTAACAGTTTATATTCTACTGCCATAGCAGTAGTGATATATTATGTATATCAACTTTTAAAATTACTGCTATAGCAGTAATTGTCCACGAATGTGTTAAATATTTATTTTTACAATCTATCATATTTTGAAAAATATATGTAAGTGTTAAAAGATTTTATGATGAGAGTGACAGAAAAAAAGAATCCAACTGAAGGAACATTATAATTTATAAGCTTATATTATATTAGTTTAAAATTTAATAAAAATTGAATTCACTTAGGTATCGGATAATTCTTAGTCTAATAATCAAAAACCTGTTTAGCATTTGATTAGTGTATACTAAATAAATTCATAGAGTAGATCTTTTAGCGCAATTATTATTTATTATTGAATTAAATTGAATACTAAGTATTTATTTATAATAATGTAGTAGATAAATTTTCTCAATTGAGAGTTCAAAGATACAAACTTAATCTCTTAATTTCAAACCATATATTAATAATTTATTGATTTTCAAATAACTACTTGCTTACTTAAAATATCTAAAACATTATTTTTAATTTTTTTAATTTTTTATTGCTTACTGTTTTATTTTTATGATTAAAGATCTGATTTTTATTTCATGGTATTAGTCATTTTAAATTAAGGTGTCATAATAAAATGTTTGAGTTGGATTTATGTACCTATGACAGTTTAATCTAGATTGCATAATGGTATAATAAATACAAAAATGTAACTTGCTGATTACTACTATAGCCTAAAAGAGATAAAATTTCATAAGTCAATAATGGGTTCTTTTTTATTGTTATAAGCTTTTAGCAGATTTATTTTTCATCTCTAGTTAAAGTCTGAAACCACCCTTACATGGCTAGATTAAAATTTCCATTATTATAATTGTGGCCTGACAAAAAATTTGGCAGCCCTATTTTAAAACCGAAATAGCGTCCATAGTATTGACACAATAATTGTTTGAATAAATGTGTGACAACAAACAATATTTAAATGAGTAAATAGCGTTTGAATAAATAATAGTTTTCTGTATAAGTACTGATTATTTAGATTGACAATAGACGTTATTATTATAATACATAATTAATAGTTCGTCAATACGCATTTTCAGGTATTTTAGCGATGTAAAATAATATTCTAAATAACTTTTAGTGTCGGTATAACATATCTACCATCAAAATGGCCAACGTTTTTCAAACAGACACTAGTAGTTTATTAATATGGTCGAAAATTTTGGGGCTTATGCATTGCTCATATACATTCGAAAAGGGACTATTAATCAGAAATACAATTAACTCAAAATATTATACTTGTCTAGAATTCATGCGGATGTTTATGATGCTATTGATTACGTACTATAATCACGATGAATGTTTATTTTTTCCGCGAGTGTTCGTTTTAATTAAATATTGGTTATTAATTTTCATGGCGAGAATATCGGAGATTCAAATTGTAAAGTAAGATGGCAAAAATAATTATTACATAAAATAATTGATTTTAAATGAAAAGTTGATATAAAAAAATCACAGCTTATTTTGGTAAAATATTAATATTTATGCATTTAAGTATTTTTATTTTAAACTTCTTATTAGGTATATATAAAATCTATTTGAATCAGATTCTTCGAATCCTTAGTTTATGTGTCAGATTAGATCATTACGTTTATACATTTTATTTTTGTTTTAGGTTTATTAACGATATTATTGCGTTTGACCGAAAACAGCTAATGTTACTCCGACCAACACTAATGGAAAATTTACGCGTAACAAACAAACATATGAATTTGAATAGAATTTTGATCATATTATTCGTATATTATATCCTTTACCACACTTCGAAGTATTATATTATACAACCGAAAGTATATGATTTTTCTAGAATCACGTTTCATTTGTTTTTGGAACCAAATTTGTTAGACTTGGTAATTGTTACGGGAGGGTGTTTTTATATTCATACTGTGGCATCAAGGTTTTCTGCTTTAAACGACGCCTGGAAACGTTTGCCTCTTAATTTAGTAGAAATTTCAGGTGAATGGATACAGTCCGAAATAACGATGTCGATGGAGTGTATACGATTGTTGCATGTTGATCTTTGTGAAATAATAAACGTGTTTAGCTTAGGTTACGGCATGGTTTTGTTAGGATATTTCACATTAAGCTTTATCAGTTTATTGATATTTACTTATTTATACTTTGCTATCGGATATCCACCACCTGACACATCGTTTATATCAATTAGTGGTTGGTGTTTACCATTGATAATTAGATATTGCCAATATAGTATTTCCCACATCAGTATTCTTATATACGCATCATCCACAAATAAAAAAGTAAGACATTATTTTTATTTTAAACTTATTACTACTGTAATAAATAAAATTTCATTTTTGAAATAATTGCACTTTTGTAGCGTTTTCTATCATACATAAATAATATTTTATATAGTCATAGTCATAAGTATTTTATTATGATTCAGAGTGTAGTGATGGATGTATTTTTTTTAAATGTATGTAACATTTATATATTATATTATGATACTGTTTATTCTTAATTTTATATAATTTTATAGTTAACATATTTAATTATTTGTAATATTTAAGTTAAACTAATTTCCAGAATTTTCAAATGTCTATTAAAAGCTCAAAAATATTAAAAATTCAATCATGTACAAAAAATACTGTTTTAAAAATTTTACGAATAGTCTAACCATCTACGGTTTTTATATATAATAGTCAAGCTAAAAAAAATAATTTTGTCAAAGAATTAAGTGAAAATTACTGTTTTTTGTTAATACTTTGATTGTTTTCCGGTTATATTTAAAAAAACTAAAAACGTTTTACTTAAGTCTTTTCAAATCAGAAACTAGATCCAATTTCTATTAGAAACTATTCTTAAAACTGGACACAGACGATTTTTTTTTATTTACTTATTATTGTACATACACACACTGAAAATAAAATAAAATAAAAATTATAAAAACTCATATAACTGTAAATTCAATACATTCATTGCTCTGCTCAAAATTTTAAACATACTGTGAAACATGCTTAAATTTCTAGTGATATGGGTTGCGTTTTATATCTCGTTTAATGATACATCACTTAATTCAAATTTAATACATGCATTAAAGTGAGCCACCCAACGCCTACTATACAGCAGAACGGTCACGTATTTGAGCGTTTTTTTTATATGTTTATATGTACTTTCATTTTATAAAACTAATATTATTTTATTTTATTTACTATTCACAGAAAAAGGAAATAATATCATATTTACGATTGTGCCAAATTTCAAATTTACCAATTCATACAAAATTACAAGTAAGATACATATTAGCTAATTTATTAACATGATACAGTATACTTTTTAGTTTAAATAATAATATTTTTATTAACGTTATTTTTCTTGACGTATGAAATAACTAATTTACTTTGTGTTCAGATTAAACTGTTTATAAATCAAATGCCTGAATTCGAATCTAATGAAATGTCAGCTTATGGAGTTTTTAACATCAATTTACATCTAATTATAACAGTGAGCATTTTTCTAATCATATATTTCAATTATTATTATTTTTATTAAAAGTACATGAACAACAATTTAAATAGTATATGACTATGACCTTTTTTTGGGGACACAATTTACAGACTATGTTAAAGTCAATGCATAGATATATCCTATTGGTAGTTATCAGTTCTTTAACTCGTGAAAAGTATTAAAAATCCTCATAGAACTTTGAATGTATAGTAATGTGTATCCCTCTAATTCCATATTTTATATCCTAGCCCACGTCTGTACCTAAACATATATGTTTATACTATGACACAGATAAACTATATAGGCTATAACCACTTACTTTAGGTTTTAGAATTCTAGTATTATTATTTAATACCAAATCACATTAAAATAACATCAGATAATCGTATACTTTGATTTAAATATTTATCAAAATATTAATATACATTTTTAAATAATTAATTTTAGAGCTGGTTTATCATTGAATAACACAGTCCAAATTAATTTAAACGCTTAGATGTCCTATTCTTGAGAATTTATAATATATGGTAGTGTATACCTAAAATTCTATTCTATCAATTTATTAATATAAAATGTAACACATTTTTTAATTAAAAACTAACTAATTACGAGTCAATCATTTAATAATACACCCCCAATATTAGTCCAAACATTACCTAGTATTTGTGCATGTCTCTTTACTCCTTATATTTTTTATTATTACATCAATGTATAGTAAACCAGTAACAGATATTTTAAAGATTTTTATAAATTTATCCAGTGGTGTATTTTCATTTTTTTTTTTTTTAAAGAGGGGATCTAAATAATGAGGAAATTTATAATATTATAAAAATTACAGCATACGAATTATGAATTAATAATTATATTATTACTTTTTAACTTTGTTTTCTTGGTAAGAGGGAGGTTAAGTTAGGTTAACCTAAACACGATAATCACTATAACTATAGATTTATTAATTAAGTATTAAGTCTCTAGTCTATAACAAAAACCGTATACTTAAACATAAATTTGTAAAAAAATATTCGGGAATGACATATTTTAAACAATTTTAGTCACTTTACTAGTATCGTTACAGCGGATGTCGTTATTATCGATTTCCAATGTTCCTACTAAAATCACCATGAGACATGTTCACTTTTTTACTAAAATATTAAACGGTGAATTTTATGAAATTATAGCATGTACTCATTTGCTTGTGGATCATTTTGATAATTAATTTATTATATCTGAAATAATGATTTAATATTCCATTGTATAATTTTGTTCATTACAGAATATAATATTGCTGTTTTCTGGAATTCTTACACTAATACAGATGAGAGATAACCCAATCATTTCTAGAGCGACAAGAGTCATCGTATTACGTTTCAAAAACGCTTATAATTATATGAAAAAAATATACTTTTAGAGTAGAAGCATTATTTATACAATTTTAATTTAATTTCTACATTAATAATTAGGTTAGGAGAAACTTATGTTTTGAAATTCAAGAACAAATAAACTAGTAACTAAAAATACACTTAGAAAATTTTGACATTAAAATCCACTTCAATATTCAAAACCATGTAATTATAAAATATTATTATCCGTTCAGAAAAATAATTAGGTAAAAATAAATTTTTTTTTTTATCAACATATAAAAATATTAGTTAATAATATAAAAATAATTACGTTATATATTTATTAAAAAATAAAAATATTGCTTTAATATTTAACATCGTATAAATATAGAGAATTTGAAGTTGGCATTATCTCATGTTTAATGTATATTGGTTAATTACTAATACGTATTAATTGGTTTTCTATGATTCGGTAATTATTACTATTATTACTGAAAAATATGCGGTCGTACTATCAGAATTACCATTGATATGAATGATATAAGAACTCCAAACATATGCTGGACACGGGTATTGAAATTTTAAATACCACCAGCTAGAAACTATCAGATTATTTGCTTACTACATTAAGTAAAACTTGGTATATTCAAAATAAAAATTTTATCTAATTTTTTAATTAAGCTATTCAAAACTTAATGATAAAAATTGTATAGTTTTTTTTTTTTTTTAATATAAAAGGAAAAGGGTTTAATTGATGTATTTTAATATTACAAAAATAACGATCCTACATTTAAGATATAGGTTGATTAATGCATTATTTTCAGAAAGATATTTCTAAAATATTAAGATTGAAGTTATAACATTGCTAATATTTTATTTCATTTTTGGTATTCCGTATTTTAAATAATGAGAGTAGAATTATTTAAACCAGAAAAAGTATCAGTACTTTGCATTGGTTGTGTATATAATTATTAATTATATACTAGCTGTCTCGTCAGGCGTTGCCTGTACCAATTTATTGACTATTTAAAAGCAGCTTTATGATTTATCACTCAGTTAGTTATCAACTGCTAACTGCAAAGTACTTTCTCATTTAATAATAATAATAATAAAAAAAAAAAATGACAATCATCGGATGAATGGTTCTCAAAATCATTGACAGCAACGATTTTCATTTTCATATAATATATGTATATAAAGGTTAGAACGTATTATTTTTGCTATCTTAATGATATTGCTTACTTCTAGAGTGGCATAGTATTGTATGATACTGATTTTTAAAAAAGTTTAAATAAATCGGAAAAAAGAGATTCATAATAAGAAATTAACATATGTATTTTTATTTATATAATACTGCTTACATGATCGTCAAAAATAAAATAAATCAATATAATTATTTATTTTTTTTTTTTTTGCATTAGTTTATACAAATCACAGTAAAATCTCTGAACAATAGGTGTTTTTTCTTTGGGTGAAAGTAAAATAAATATTAAACTGTGTTTTACCAACTCAAGATAAGACAACAAAAAGTTTGCCATGAGAAAAATAGCTCTTACGCAAATCAAATTTAAATGATAGCTATAGCAATTTTTTTCTCAAAATTGTATTCTTTTAATTTGAACGGTAAGTTTGTTAGGGTTTTTGAAATTCGTAGTATTAATGCAACTTTACTAGCCTTAAGACCAGTTAAAATTTTTATTTCTATAATATTATTTTTAAAATCCGAAGAAGAAGCTTCAAGCTTAATCCGCTCTTTTTGAAGGTTTATGATGAAACACCGAGCATAATATGTTTATCGTTTTTAGTCCGTGGAATTATTTCATAACTATTCTGTTTTAAAGATAATTCTACAACCAGTAATATTCGAGACATAGAGGCCGATCACTATATTTATTAGAAACTTTTTGGCTGTAAGACGCGTATATCCGCACGTGTGTACGGTGGATTTATATGTATCTATAAGACATTATGGCCAAGCTGGGTAAGCGCGACAAATAATTACAACACATACAATATTTTGTTTACAATATTTTAGTGGACTGTATTTCCGAATATACATAATTATAACAACAAATAATATAATATCAATACAAAGAATCCTTATGAGGTCGACCTACTCTATGATAATATTGAGGATAATATAATAATGTTCTCACATACCAAATGTAAAATTATATACAATAACGAAAGGAGTTAGGTAATAAATATATATATATATATATAATATGTCTGACCTGGTCACCAACTGGAAAGAACCACCGCAATATATCAATTTGGAGCACTGTTTTTTGTTAATTGATTCACATATGAAAATAATAATAAAAAAAAAGCACTCCTGAATGTAGTCAGATTACACACCGAGTGTAATAACATAATATAATATAATTCCGAACCGTAAAAATTCAACCGACCATCGGAACTCGTGTTGACAATATAATATTAACCTTTAAGTATACACCGTATGTACGTAAATAATAATAAAGGCCGAGCGCTAAAAGAAGAATGCAAACCGTATGCAAAAAAACTGCAAGACAAAGAAAAAACCACATCGCTATGACCAGTGACCACAAACAACAACGCTAGACGGAATCACCGATGATTCGTGTGTGTATCGGAATATAATGGTAGGCAGGTAACGGCGGCACTAGACAGATGCCGATACCGTGGTCACATTATAGTTAATTGATAATGCAATGATAACTAGTATCAGACATTGGCTAAATAATAGATATTTTACAATATATACATTATTTTTTTAATATTTACCGAATTAATGAGTTTGATTAATTTATTCACATTACACTGCGTTGCAAAACTGTGTTTAAGTATTACATATATCTAAGTATTTCAGTACCTAAATTTCCAATATAATGGTCTTTAATGTAATATTATTTGGTCCTACAAAGTTTTTCTTAACCTAACCGCGTCATAAAAGTATTTTTATATTTGAGTTAAAAACTATTTTATTTCGTTAAATCACATTCATAATGTATAAAACTGGGTAAAATTTTTATATATCATGTAATATAATATGTGTATTAAATTCGCTTGTAATTGTAGCAATAATTTATATTAATTATTATAAACAATAGCTATTAATATAATACACGATAACGTAAACTATACTCGCTTTGCCCAAGCCATTGTTTTCTAACGGAAGCAAAATATATCATTTAAAGAATGAGCCATCAATTCATTCTATCCTAACAATTCTTTAGCAATATCTAATAATCTGGAGATTAAAAAATTGTACTATTTTGGGAATTCCTTTACAGATATATTTTAGTGACATATCGTCATTAATAAAAGTCTACTCTCTGTGTCGTTACCACGAGGTCTTAAATTTTTTTAATTATGACTTTCATTCTTATGTATTCATATAGTAATATACTAATATACAGTTATACATAATATATGAGAATTTAATGTAAACTCACAGTGAAATGTGCATATTGCGTAATCTAAAGTATAGAATGCAAATATAACTTTTAATCTAAAAAAAAATAGTTATAAAAATACAGAATTCTAACAAAAATAGTTTAAATTTTAAATATCATATAATAACATTGACATGATAAGCGTTTAAATTGATGCGTGACAACGTTTGAACGAGTAAATATTGTTTAAGCAAATAATAAATTTTATTGTTCCTGTTGTGTCAATTGATGTTTAACATTATTATTAAAATAAAAAAATGCATATAGTGTTCTTTTGTATTATGCAGTGTTTTTTCGCTATGAAATAGTAATACGAATCCACCCATTATTAAAGAAATTTACAAGTTTGTACTAAGAAAGTGGCGAACATTTTTCAAACAAATAGCAGTTATTTAATCATACGATTAAAAATTATAGGACTTGTGGACAGTGTATATATTTGAAGTGTGACACAAATAAAACAAATAGCAAAAAATATTATTTTCATTTAGAATTTATGTGGATGTTTGTAATTCTAATCTATTCATATTTGATTATATTATTGAATAAGTATTTGTAGTGTGTGCATTGTAATGCTTAATTAATAAATTTTAATAATAATAAAATAAAATAAAAACTCAGCGTTTGTATATCATAATAATAATGGACTATATTCAAATATAATTTTACAGCACACCACACATATTAAATAATAAATTTGCACCCGCGCTCGATATACAATTAATTAAATGCACCCGTATGCAAACAATTAACATAAAATTATCGTAATACGTTAAGACACAATACTTGCATTAAAAACATGTGCCACCGATAGCAAAAAATGGCGACGCAAAGCATGTAAAAATAACGGTCCTACAATGACTACGATGGGCCGGAGAAGACTAAAAATATTAAAAACTATATTAAAAACTATGCCTTTGTTCGAGGCGGCAGCCGGTTCGAACAATACAACGACGGGGAGAGTAGGGTCTATCTAGACGTTTCTCTGTCTTATCGGTGAAGATCCTTGATTGAGATGTGTGTATTTTTATCTTTTGGAATTTGCTACCGAACAGTATTGGTTATCTATTAGTTTTCATTCCTAGAATATAAGAGTCCCGGATCGTAAGGTAAAATGATAAAAATGGCTAATGTATAATATATTAAATAATTAATTTTAAATTAGGTAGTTCTTAAGTAAAATTACAGTGTGTTTTAAAAAATATTAATATCCATGTTGAATAATTGAGTTCTAAAAATCATATTAAAATTCATCTTTATTCAAATCTACTCTATACTAGTTTTGTTTATAATATTAATTAGGTAGTACGTTACTTATGATATTCTTTTAAGATTTATTATTCATTGCGTTTCATCAAAAAACTAATTCTACTTCAACCGACGCCGATGTAAAATGTACCGTATCAACCAAATGCATGAGTTAGAATAAGATGTTGATCGTGTTATTATAGTACGTATGATATGTTATTGTTAATCATATTTCTAGGGCGTTATAAATTTATATAATGCCGCTGAAAACGTATGACTTTCCTACAATTAAATTTCATTTTTTATATATCTAAATATGTTGAACATAATAATTTTTACTGGAGAATAATCTTATATCATGTGTCTATGTTAAGCGCTTTAAAAGATGTCTCGAAACGTTTGCCACATGATTTGATGATAATTGCAATTGAATTGATTTAATCCAAAATAAACATATCAATGAAGTATCTACAACCGTTGCATGCTTATATTTATGAAGTAAATAATGTGTTTAGTTTAGTTTATGGTATTAACGTATTTAAGGTATTTCGCATTTAGTTTTGTTATTATATTTTTCTTATTTATATTTTGCCATTGAACATCCACTATCTGAAATATCGTTTAAATTTTAAATCGTCATTATTAAAATTACCAAAACACACAAATTAAAAATTTTTTAATGTTAATTTATGGTATTTGTTGGAACATTCATTTATGTAAAAATTATATATGATTAATAAAATATGTAATTTAAAAAAAAAAAAACTATTTTTTTCTCTTTAACTTATCTTAATAACAACTTTTTCTCTTTAATTATTATGTATACTTAATCGTACATCTATTTAAATTTAACATTGTAAATATACTTAATACACATTATGTAAATAGAGTCTTGTTAAATAAAAATAAGACATAAGAATTCCAAATTTGGTGCACCTAAATTGCCTATCTATAGCGCCGTGTCTAACTGAAGCTTGTGAGTTTTGGAAATGACGACATTTTTAGGTACTGTATTTAAGTTAAAAACTACCATTAAAATTTTCATTTAATTATTAGCATATAAAAGAGTAATAATTTCTTAAATCATTGGTTGGGTGGTAAATCATAAATTAGTATATAATTACAATAATTTTAGCATTAGTTATTGTACTATGCATTTGTAGTATTTTGTACTTCAAATAAATAAATTACTAATTATACAGTTTTCGTTTCTATCAAAATGGAAATTAATTACTTTATTTCATCATACTATTTAATGCTACCTTTTTTCTGATCATCAAAATAAGTATTTTTGCTGTTGTTTTTTTTTTACTCTTATCAAATTTTGTGACAATCTTTGGGAAAAATACAGAATGACGAATAATAAAAATGCGCAACCATAATATTATATACAAATATATTCGCATTTGAAATATATTAAATTACATCACTAGATGGCAGAATACATACTAAATAACAAAATAAATTATTTGTTTAATACAGGCATTGAGTACCTACTAGTAGATGGTATGTATTTCATACTATCAATAACATTAAAATTTTAAGAATTGAAAAATTTGTAAACGGCTATTAAAAATAATATGATATTATTTGAAGATAAACATTTATATATTAATCACGCATGCGAGCAGTTTATAGGTAACTTAATACCTATTCAAGTTTGAGTATACAATTCATCAACTGTAAATTTGAACACATAATATACAATATATGATACATATTACAGATAATGTGTATAAATAATAAGATGTACCTGACGCAACCTAATATATTTAGGACTTATGGACTTTTGGCACTTAATGAAATGCAATCAATTATAACCGTAATGTTTTTGATATGCTTACTCTAAATACTAAAAAAATAAAACATTGTATATTATATTATACATATTCTTCATTGTACTAAAAACTTTATATTATGTAATTTTTTTGGTAAACAGTGTTATTTGAACAATACAAAATTTTTTTTTCTGTTTATAATTGATAAAAAAAACTTCACTGGTTTTTTAGTGTACATTAACGTCATTAATTAGTACAAATATTATTTGTTAATTTTATTTTACTTTAATTTTTTTGTTTGATTGCCATAACAACTGTAACAAATAATTTGATTAGGAAAAAAATCTTATATTCAACTCATAAACATGTATATCTTTGGTCTATAAATAAACAGTACAATAATTAAACTGTTCGATAATATTAAATTAAAAATATGGTTTTAAAGCTTTAAATTCATATAAAGATGAAAATTTATGAATAAAAAAATAGATGATATATAATTCTTAAACAGTATTCGTAATAATTACGTTAAAACATAAATAGAAACATAAAAGTTCAAGACAGCGGTGATATCGTGACTTTAAGTACTCTGAAAAAACCACTGTAATTAGCGAACGAAGAATCACAAACAAATTTTAGTGACGAAGAACTTTACAAAAATCAATTTTTATCTGATCAATTTTCTTAAATTAAGTTTTACATAAAACCAATGATTGATCTGATTTTTTTTCTGTTAGCTTATTAGCAAAATTTTTTTTATACATCTACCTAATTAAATGTAAAAATTAAGTTTAAGTAGTATTTTTCATTATTTACAAGTCAAATCAGGTACTATTATTGTATTATCTGCATGAAACATGATATTCTTCACGTTATAAATAAACGTTTGAAAATGTTTTGGTTTTTTTACAAGACAATTACAATAAACAATATCAATGTTCGAGTTTTAATTGATCTATTTAATACCTGTATAACTATTATGTAAATGTCCTGACGTTGTTTAAAATATTAACAGAACATCGGACCGATTTTTGAATGACTCTCGTAGTTTTGTTTAATATGTATACTATGTAGTAAAATAGTATATCATGCATTTATGTATATAAATATAATAATGAATCTGTGGCATACAGTAGCTGGTATTATAGGTAGATATTTTAAAATGTTTATTGCCATTTAACATAAATGAGTTCGTGTTGACGAACTAGTACAACTAGTAAACAAATGTACAGAACTATTTATTTTGCGTGCGTGTGGGTGCGCGTGTGCTCCTGCCTCTTGTTTATGGTATAGAAACTGTAATGTTCCACCTCTAAAAACATCTATAATGAATTACAACGTGTATAATAATATGTAATATGTATACTTTATTATGAATCAATAATTTTAATGCACGCTTTAGCGTATAATATACTCAATACATAAACATTAAGAATGGCATATATTGCTTATTATTAAAGTTAATAAAATATCGAGTTTTTAAAGCAAAAATGTATCAAAAAAAAAATTAATTTTTTATACTCTTTGTATAATCATAAATATTCAGTAAATGAAATGTTTTCAGTCAAACTATTATTTTTCAAGGTTCTGTTATATTTTTATAAGATTGTGGTATATTTATACAATCATATCATACGATATATACTAGAAATTATAACGAATATTTATTTATTTTTTGGTAATCAATAATATCAATTAAATTTAAATAATTTTACAGTTTCTTGAAATTCGTATTAACCGATTTATATTGTGTACTCCTATTATTTTAATATAACTTTTGAATATATATTATGTATAATGTATATACTTGATGAATTATCTCATTGGATACAATAACAACTAAGTATATTATATTTACAGCTTAGTTACAGAAAAATCGGGAAACTATAAAATGTCGTTCCTCATACGAATAATCATTTTTTCATCAAACACTAGTATTGATTCAAATACTAAACTATGTTTTAATATGTAAATCAACAGAGTACAGTATTTATTATTGCGGTGATATTGCTCTTCATTTAATGTAAACTGTAATTATTATTTCAATAAGCACTCGATTTTAATCAAAATATTTTCAAAAATATGTCAAAAATGTATTACTAAACATTGAAACATAATGATTGTTTACTGTATAAATAGAATCACATTATTATAGTGTATATAAATAAATATTTACAGTAGTATATTTTTAAATTTTAAAACTTATACGACTATTTGAATACTATTTAATAGAAATAAACAATTCAAGTGCTATAATATTTACACTTCTTAGGTTAATGAATTGGCTATCTTGAAAATATAAGTTTTAATTTAAAATTTAGGTAAACCAGATAAATAAAAAAAATTACAACAATCGTAACTCTCAGACTTGATGGTTATGGTTTTCCGAGATCTCTTTTCAAAAATATTAATTTAAATTGAATTATAATATTTTGATAGGACAAATGCGTTAAGATATTTTATATATTTTATTCATATTAATTACACAAGATAGGCCATGAAACTGAATCCCTCGTTTTGGATATAATTTTTATCAGACCGACCTAAGAGGATGGAATAAGGATTTATTAATAATAGTGAGTTGCTTTGATTGCCCTTCACTACACGTTTTAGATCATTGGGATGGTAAAGAACTGATTTAATCAGTGCCAACGGATATACCACGATTGTGGGCATTCACCGAGTAGTAGAAAAAGAAGAACGCCAAGAACATGACAAATGCCGACGGAAACGTGAATCGGGCGACCATGTCTATTGTTTTGGCCAAATAGACCGGGTCAATCGTTTTTTTCGAGATCTTTTCGTTCTGAAAAATTAAAAAAAAAAAAAAAATCATTATTTTTATTATTAACGTATAAATTCCACTGAAATAAAATAATACAAAATATATAGTTTTAATATTTTTATTTGTTTTTGTGCTACTTCGAAACTTATTCGAATCCAATCATAATATAATCAGTGCTCAATTATGTTAGATTATACAGATTAAAACTAAGTTATCTTCACCACGGGCACCAGTTAGATACTGCTACCTTTTCAATGGAGTTAAAATGGTTTATATTCTACTAATCGGTAAATTACACGTATTCCAAGTATGTTATGTCTGTCGATATACAAGTACACGATTATAGTTAAAAAGTACAAATAAAAACCATAAACGTGAAACTATTATTAATAAATCATTATTTTGATAAATCGAGTTCGTCAAACTAGTACCAGCAATTACCTAGAATACACAAATATCAAAAATTGGTAGATTTTAATTGGTCTTTTTAGGAATCAATATTCATAGCAATGTTACTAGTGCTTAGGCAGAAAGCAAGGTTTCGGTAATGGTTTAATATACCATTTGCGTTCCATAGGAGAAATTAAAGGAGTGGATTTTTTATGTGGATGAAAGTTATTTGGTTAAGAGTAGATCAATGGCTTTAGTTAGCATTGATAATAAAGGGTTTAGTAAAAAGCTAATTTTATTAAAGTCCTTGTTGTTTAAGTAAAGTTAATTTTTTGAAAGGAGTTGAGTACTTGAGTAAAACAGATCTTAATTTTGGCAGGCGAGATTATTGTGATAAGAATTTTTGATGCCTTGTTGGTTTTTATTGTGTTTTATGCTTTCTGGAAGAGTTAAAATTTAGGACATATTTTGTAAGAAGTAAAATGGGGCTCACTGCGAGTGTATATATTGCTGAAGTAGAAGAATCATTAAAAAAATTGTTTGAGTTATGAACATTTTAGACTACAAAGATAGTGACAGCAATAAGTTTTGACGAGCCCATAGTTTTAACATCTAAGACATTGCACTATATTTTTTTTTAGTTTGAGTTGCTTCAACTTTTATTTGGTATAATTAACTTTATAAATGTTTTTTTTAAGTAAAGAGGGTTCCAGATCGATAAAAATATCGGAAGTAAAGTTTTCGTTTTGTATTGAAGAAAATTCATATTTGAATTAACCGTGAAACTAAAAACTTGAAGGACTTCTTTTATATAGTTAATTAGAGTGATATGGTAGAGGTATCGAAGCACTACCCTGAAGACTTTTTTATCGCTTATTTGGAATATATGGTAATTCGTGTTACTTGATTTGAAAAGTTTTATAATTTGCCTGCCGGTGTTGATGGAGTACGTTGTAAGTTAAATACTAGAAGTAAAGCTTTTAGTAGTGAACTCATCAAGATTAATGAAAGGTTTGGTTTTTTCTACAAAAATCTAAGTTACTAATATTATCTTTTATACAAATTAGTATAATTTAAATTACTCCATTAGCGGTATCTTGAAATAACGTTTTTATATCATTAGAGATAGGTTTCTCGTTATAAGTAAGAGCTGAGTAACGGACTTAGCTATAAACATATTTGTTATTAGAATTTTTACTTTTGGTGAAAGGTTTGGAGATGTAATCGGTATGGTTTTCCAATTAAAATTTTCATTAGTCTGATTTCTATTTATTTTGATGAGAGTAACTGTCTTGAGTTATTTTTTGAAATTGGAGTGTTTGAATATTGGCTAGAAGATAGTAGAGATTTGTTGGTAGAACTTATTGTTCAAGGTCAGAATTATTTAATTAATAGTGAGGATTTTATTGGTCAGTAATTAATATACAGAGTAATATATATAAGAAATATTTTACTTGTTTAATTGAATCAACGTCGTTGAGATAAAGTTATTGACTTATATAAGACAAGAAACAGAGTACTGTAAGTCTACTCACAAAAAGTAAACACGTAAAACTGAATAAATAATTTAAAATTAGTCTTGATATCTTGAAAGTTTTATTAATTATAGAAAATGATAATTTAAGCTATCACCGAATGTTTTAAGTTTCTATCATAATTATTTTTTGAATTACAATGAAATAAAATAAAACCCTTTGATGAGGGATCTTAATGTTATGTGAGAACATCCAATTTTGTCAAAATTTGAATTTCAAACAATTCATAGAAAATTATAGATTGAGTAATAGCTAAATACAACTTTTTTCAGTATTAACAATTTATGAGAACTTTTTTAATTTTTTTTTTATATATATACATAAACATAATTAATGCATTTACAAAAAAAATCTAATAAAAACTGTAAATGCTTAAAAAAATAGTATTTTATTATTCTAACAGCACGTGATTAATTTTTACGCATTTCATGATCATTTTTCACAAATGAATTTAGTGATGACGATTTATTTTTATTTTTTGATACTATTGTTACACTGTTTGTAATAATGAATTTTTTTTTATTACGATTCCCTGTGAGACGGACTTTGTTTTTAGTTAACACATTATTCTATTATAGGTAATTTATATATGATATATTATTCTTATTAGGTAAGTATTATTGTTTGGTATTAATGCGAGTGCAAGTTTTAATGACTATTTTTTTACCATTTATGACTATGATGATGGAAAAAAGTCGTTAATTATCATTATAACTATTTGATTTTTAAAAGATAATAGTAATATTTTTATGTCTACATTTATATTTGAAACAAGATTAATGAACCTCCCAGAAAGTTGTTTTTAAATTTTTATCATATTTTAGTTATTAAAACATTTTAAACTAGATATTTTGTCTAACTAATGACTTTGGATTATTTAAAAAAATAAATTATTCTAAGAAATAAAATTAAAACACCACCTAAAATATCGTTAAGTTTTATTATACTATATTTGATCACCAAATGTAAATTTTATTAAGTGAATAAATAATTATAATTAATCTTACGCTAGTAATAAAAATTGATCTTAAGTGATCCGTACAAAGTACATTCAAATAAGAAAAATGTTATTTTTTCTTATTATTTTTTTATGTTTTCCTTTAATATTATTTATTTTGTAAATTTTTCTAAAGTATGAAAAAACTTACCGTTTTCGGGAGAACATCTATGAGGAGCGAATGTGAACATATATTTTGAGCGCATTCTGAGCACTTAGTTTCTTTCGAAGTTTTCTAAAACAAATAAAAATTAAATTAAATTCATGACATGTATTTCCTATTTGTTGTATGCATTTTTTATTTGTAACTTCATATATTAATTTTTCAATAGATTTTATATATTTTCGGTTTTTTTTTTTTTATGGTTTTTAATAATTTATAAGTTTGTATTAGTTATCAAATCCCTGCGGCTGCCATTTTTACAGTTTTTATTTATATACACACGTGTAAATATATAATTAATAATATTAATTTAAATACACAATACTGTTTAAACAAAACAAAACTTGTGTATAAATAATTTTATTGAAATATACGAGTAAATGGTATGTGGTATAGATTGCAATATATTTTAATTTAGACATAATATGCATTTTGAATAATATATATATATTCTGCTCTATATTATAATACACGTACGATCGCTATTATGCTGTATATTGTTAAGTGAATGAATTTATGCATGGATTTTCAACATCGGCAAGTGTGTAGGTATAGGCTCCATTAAACCTGAATGTTTCATGGTGATACAAAGACCACAAACGGTTAGCCATATAGACTACATTGGTCTTAGGTACCCAATAAAACTGTCGTTTCTTGCGGTTTTACACTGTTTTTATTAAACACACAATAAAATTGGTGCTGTTTAAAATAAATAACTTTTTTATAATGTAACATAAAATAAAAAAATTACGCCGATAGAGTCTATTGAAATTTAAATTTATCGTTTCAATTATCTCATTGTAATCAATGCCTTATACACATATTTTAATAATGTTTTAACTGTACATTACAAAAAAAAATCGATAGACGATGATCGCTTAAAAGCGGTGTAATCTTCCCATTTCACATAACACCTAAGTTATTAGAATTATTTTTGTATTTTTATCTTGTCTATGTTGATTTGATATAAATAAACCTTATTATTATAATATTATTATGTATGATAATTATTAAAAAAAAAAAAAAAGTTTAAGCATAATAATTAATAAAGTGCCCTTCTGTGTAGTGTGTATAATATTTGACCTACAACTGAGGGTCTTCCGTGAAACTGTAGTTGTTGAGTGTTAACAAGTATAATCAAAGCAAAATTATGTCTGTTTTGGTGGCCCAGAGATAAAACATCAAATAAATAAAATTTTATAAAAATACAATAAAAATATAGGTACGCATTAAATTTTATAGCAATAAAAACGAATAATCAATGAATCATACCGTTTAACAAGTGCCACCTACGATAATCAATCTTACTATACGACTGACGTCCATAAATAATAATTTATCTTGTTAGATAAATTATTGACGTTACCGAACTATATGACGATATCCGATTACGCTGTGTGCCGTCATTTACGTCATACATTATGTACAGGTAAAATTATAGTCTTTAAGTTAGCGAATCCAAAATTTCGTCCAATACCTATTTTGCTATAATTTTGTATCGAATTTGTATACTTTGAGTTCAGTCGAGATTTTTAGAAATAATTAAGTTTTATGACGATTAATAGCAAATTAGTATTAGTAAATATACTAGAATAACCAGCTTTACTCACACGGTTATATTATTAATATGTTATAATTATATTATTATTAATTGTATAAGAAATGTATAGTCATTTGTGTCGATCTATACGAGTCACTCATGTGCTGGATATGTAGAATATACATCTGCATTGACTTGAATAATTTTGTTAAAATGTATGCTTTTAGATTAACATATTTTTCTTGATAATGTTATCTAACGGTTCTAAGAAATCAACTAATATATTATTAAATCATAAAAGGCATATAATCTTGACTGTCCTTCGAAGACAACTTTAATAATCATTGCAATTAACATTGTCATATAAATTCGATCTGTTTGCCCTTTATCCGATTGTCGATAATTTTATTATTATTAATTGCTCGTTAGCCATCAGGTTCATCTACGTGAATAGTTGTTGTATGTTTGTACGTGTTCTATATAATATTATACTCAATGTATAATTCAGTATTCTACATTTCTGTTAATAATAAATAAGCAATAACATAACAGAAGAAAATATAACTTACTCTCGAACCGTCTACATCGTGTACAAAGTTTGATGACCCTCGACGACTTATTATTACTTACACTTCCGAATAAATATATAATTTTGATATTGAATTAAATTAAATTAAACGTCTACCATGCATAAACACGGTTATATACACGCACGCATGCGCAATTCTGTGTTATATATATATATATATATGTATATTTATATGGACATACAAAGCTGTAATTTGGAAGGTACCCTCGTATTTTCGTCTGAAAAGGACTGATTCTGGAACGGGTTAATCGGGTCAACGAATTTCTGTGACAGCTACACACATATATAAACCCAACTAGTACATCAGTCGTCTGTACGTAGTGTGGTTCTATATAACAATAGTTAATCCGTGTACGTTCCAGCTAGCGAAGTTGAGCGGAAAATTATCGGTTTACTAATCGTTGAAATGTTCCAAAAATACAGTTACCGCAAATAGGTACACATATTCGTCGCCGAATAGACTAATATTTAATACGTTCCGGTAATAATAATATTATAATATTCTATATATAGGTGCTATTTATATACCTATTCGTAAAACTATGAATATTATATTACGACACGTCATGTTATACAAGGAATTAACATTGTATGGATTTTCTCGGGATGTTCAAAACTAGATTGTTTCATCGCGTCATTGATCTGTACAATACTATAATATATTAATATAGGATATGCATGGCGATACTATGGGATATTCACACGCAATATAATATGATAATATGAACATTAAACTAATTAATTTGTTATTATTTAATAAATAATTTAGATTGTAGACAAGAGGGAGTATTGATGTGATTGTTGGCACTCGACAAGGGATGATCATTCGCATAAAAACAAAACATTATCAGATGTTGCCATATAAACCAGAATTAATTATAGTTCAAATTGATTTTCTCCACATTTTAAAACATTTTTACATGCATAAATTTAAAATCAAATTTTTTAATATGTACGTATACTTTATTGTACGCTTATCAGTATATTAACGAAGACATTAAATGAAATAGTGTTTATTAATGGACATATTTTTAAATTAATATTACTATTTACTGTGATAAACATGCTATCAATGAAGTCATCAACTCCTAATAAATAAATTACCTATTAATTACACAGGTTTTTAAATTAAAATATGTATGTTATAATTTGTTGGGTGTTTTACATAATAAAGTATAGTTATGTCAAGTTTGCGTATAATTTCCGTGTTTGTAATAATACGGTCCTATCTCACCACTGTGGTCGGACGGGTCGGTGCAATCGTTATATTATGAGTATAGCAGAGACCGTACCACTCGACTGTAAACCTACCTAGGTACTCGATGATAACAACCATATCATCATCATCATCATTATCATTATCATCATAATCACCATCATCTGATCATCGTCATTACAATTGTGTAGACAGCAACTACGTCGCCGTCTACTGTTCTTCATTTTATGCGTAAAATGAAATCGTCTTGTAATTTGTTTTAATAATAATAAAGTAGGTACGCGTCATATTTTAGTTTAAACCGAGCCGTTAAGCATCGTGTGTTATCATGGCTATACGAGCTTATTTTAATCGTGTTAATTTTTTTTACCGACGAATTCTAGCAACATCGATAATGCGTGGCAAATTCCTTGGAAAACTTTACGTGAGACATAACAATAATGTATCGCAATTAGAAACTATATAAGCTTTTATAGAAAATATTATATTATTCTTATCGTCATCATAGATGTTAAAAATTATTATTAATTATTTAAATAAGAATGCTGTTTATTTATTTCATTTTATCGTCATCCCATTAAGTAAAAATCTGACCAAACCGTTACGACACAATACATTGTAATGATATAACATTTATTATCCTAATAAGCGAGCCTCTCTTTATTTAAAACAAAAATAGCAATAATTAATCGAGTCGTTACGCTTGTATATCTACACAGATAGTTAGTAAAAATTTCGGGTGAACACAATTGCGGACAGCCACTATACGAAAAAAGGTATTGTTATGTATCCAAAAAATTACAAGATCGCGGAAACAATTTAGTGAAAAGTGAAATGATCGAACGTAATTGGGAATACGCAATATTATTAATAAATACATATATTACAAATATTAATAAAACATGTGTTATAAAATAGAGAAAAACTTCCAAAGAAAAAATCGATTTTCCAGAAAATAACAAGTAAAAATATTTCGTTACATTAAACAGATGTTTTTTTTTTTATGTATGCTAAATTATTTTTATTTTCTATTTTTAGTATTTTATGAATATTTTTACAATAACTCTGTACAGTTTTCTTGTGAATAATTATTTGATATAGAAATTAAAATAATTTTTTTTAAATTAATTTCTTTTAAAATTAAAAATTTACTTGATTTTATGTATTAAAATATTTAATTTTATATGAAATGTGTGTTTTATTTATGTAAATACCTATTTAACTGAAATACTCATAAAGTAACGTAAGTTTACATTTAACAAGCATAGAATTTTTACATCCATGAATTATTATTTATAAATTTGGCAACATTTATTTGCAATCGTGTCGTTTTGAGGGTCCATTGTTATCCTATAACTGTCCGCAATCGTGTTCTTAAAAGGGTCGCCTCGATAAGGACCATCCAAAAATATATATCATTGAAAAATTTCACATGCAGAAAACAAACTCTTGAAAATAAAAATTCATGCGAATGACATAGCATTTTAGTATAATGTGATATTTTTTAAATACAAGATTTAAATATACTTAACCTCTTATGTACAAATATAAATCACAAAATAATTGGTTACTTTCATTTGAAATAAAATCTTAATTCGTATTATTGATTGATCGGTTGGTTAATATTTAATAATGTATAAATTTACATTGCACACATTTTATTTATTAAAAAGAAAAAAAAATACGAGAACGAAAACATACTATTTTGAAAAATTGTTCTACTAGTA